TTTGATATTCATTATGAAAAAGTTATAAATAAGATTAGTAGTAAAGGGATATTTATCAAGAGTTTCTGGATGTCTGACTTCATACAGCAAAAACATTATCTATAATACCGTCATTCTTCCAAATTTCTTGTACTGTTTGTTCGACTATTCTATATTTAGCAAATAATTCCATTTTTGAAACACTGCAAATTTTACAAAACAAGTGCATGAGAATAATACTGAATAAAGATAAATATACTCCAATTAGACAAATGCTTAGCAAATTAAAATGGCTTAATGTAAAAAATTTTATCAAATGTAATGATATTCATTTATAAAGTAAAAAATAATATATTTCCATCAAGTCTAACTAATTTAACTTCATCAAATGCCGACAATCATTTACATAATACCAGAAATAAAGATGACTTCCATTTAATGACCAAAAAGTATAACATATACACAGCTATAAAAGACCTGAAAACGTTGACAAAATTTAAAGTAAAATTGAGATCACTTGTTAAATCTACAATTATAGCTTGCCCAGCATTTACATCATACATCATATAGCTTGAATTTACTAATTCTAAGTTCTTTACATTTATTCTGTTTATGTAGCCAAATAAATAAATCTTTCTACTAATACTACTAATCATTTCTGAAATATTGATTCTCTAGTTATATTACTACTGCAATTTTGTAAATGAAAATCTATAATTCCCTTCTTGTATAATAATTGTGGTAAAAATTATTCAATTTTATGTAGTGTTTTAAATGTTGTGGCATAAAATGAATTTTTATTTTAAATATAAAAATAAGAACCAAATATGAAATTTTTCATATTCAACCACTGCAATTCTTGTAACCAATTTTATTTTGGTGTACTTATTTTTATTCAGTATTATTCTCCTAGCTTTATTTTGCAGGACTTGTAATTTTCATTGGCAGTGAACAAGGTAGCGGAACAATATAGTAAATGTGGTAGAATAATTGTATTATAAACTATTTTTTTGAAATATCCATCAAGATTATGAGAATTTCTATTAAAGTTATTTGTTGATATATATATATATATATATATATATATATATATATATATATATATATATATAAATGTATCATCTGCAAATATCTGAATTTTAAAATGAATCCTGTTCGTACAGCCAACCTGTCGGTGACCGTGTCCAAAATCCCGCCACACATATTTTTTCACTCTGCGATGCTATATAGACGGAAATCACACGTCCGTATCCCACACATAGTCACCGACCACTGTACGAACAAACCTATAGCTGCTATACTACAACTATTTAAAACTGTAATGACTCATACGCGTGATCAACACGTGATCAGAGCTCGATCCCGGCTTCCTTCCAGTACAGCCGTATAGCGTACGACATATGTCGTTTCTGTGGCTTTGCGGTGGTCAACAGCACATACAGAGATGGAAATAATGGCTGATGGTTCTCCGCCGGTAGAACCAATGAAATCAAAGACGCGCCTCGACCGGCAGACTCATAGGCGTCGGTAACGCATTGGAACGTGTTTCGTTGAGCGATCGCATATTGTGTGTTTTTATAAGAATTGTTGTGTGATTGTTATTGTTGTGGTTTCTGTGGTTACTGTTTTGGTTATACTTAACCATGGAGAGTACAAATGGCACGAGTGGAAGTAATGAAAGCCAGGGAACAAGTAGACGGCTTCGTAAAGCACTGAGGAGGGACGTGAAAGAAATCGTGCTCAACGTGTTCAATTATGACAGGCGTTCCAGAGTGGACCATTCGCAGGGTGGTGCATGAAAAGAAGAAAACTGGAGCTACTACTGATCCAAAGTTTAATTTGAAGGGACGAAAGGCCGTTAAATTGGATGACGATAGCAAAATGGCGTTAAGGCGAACCGTACATTCATTCTTCTTTAGGAATGAGATACCAACCCTCAAGGCTGTACATGCAGCGATCAAGGAAAATGAAATTATACCCCAAATGAGCGTCGAGGTAATGAGGAAATCCCTCAGTATTCATAGAGAGACCTGAAATAGTCGCCTGGCGTCGAAAATACCTACGCGAAATGATTGAATATAGGCGACAAAGCAGAAAAATCTATTATTTGGACGAGACATGGGTAAATGAAGGTCACACAGTTAAAAAAACCTGGATAGACAAAAACGTAGTGAGTAACCGACAAGCAAGAATTGAAGGCTTGTCAACAGGTCTTTGTGACGATTCATATGTGAAAGCGGAATTGTATGAAAAAATTAAACAGCACAAACCTGCGAACATTAGTTACGTGACTGATGAGATGGTCCGTCAATGTGGTGTCACTGTCCTGCGGTTACCGCCCTACCACTGTGAACTGAACCCAATAGAGCTCATCTGGGCTCAAGTGAAGGGTTATATTGCGCGCCATAACACAACCTTCAAATTACCATACGTTAAGGTTTTACTTGAGACTTCCATACAGCTGGTAACGCCCGAAGCTTGGCAGAATGCTATCCGTCATGTTGTGAAGGAAGAAACAAAAATGTGGCAGCTTGACTACCACATCGACACCATCATAGAGGCAGTTATAGTCAATTTCAACGAGGAAAGCGATAGCGACAGTTTATTACTGTTAGATGTAAGTGGAAGCGACGATGAATAAAGGTAATTCCCAAATTTTTGACTTACAATATGTTTCAAACCACTCTTTATTAAGCATATAACAAATATAGTTCACCCATGTTAAACATTCATACCCCGCCTATGAACAGCTGACTACTGGTAGTTAAGTGATGTTCACGCGAACATCGATGAGTCATTACAGTTTTAGATAGTTATAGTATAGCTTTTCTCTATTTAGAAAACCTAAACGTAAACTAATCATAACCCATCCCTGTTTATTTTTAACTAAGCCGTAGGAAATTGAAATTGAATTCCTGATATCCACTGCCGAAGTCCGTGATCAGAATTTGAATTCGGTAGATTTTGCACTTAAACAAAATAAACTAAAACTGAAAGCTACAAGTGAGGACATATGCAGTTGGAGTGATGGCGGAGAAAGAAATCTCACAAAACTACGTTCAATAAATTCAGCAAACTGAACTAAGGTGGCGTATCTGAGAATGTATGTAAAACTATAATCTCTCTTAATTTTTTCAGTTTGTTAACTGCATTTTCCTTCGTAACAATGTACAAAACTAATGCCCCTAGCAGTTATTATACAGGACCAATAGAAGTTCCTTACTGAGGTAGCATATGTTACAGTCAAAACTCATAACCGGTCAAAACCACTTTTGACTGCAAAAATCGGTCAATTACTAAAAATATTGTTCAGGTGATTAAAATAATTGTGCGTGGTTTATATTCAGAATGCGTACATTTCACCACGTTTCAGCTGAATATCAGGTACTGAAGTGAGTGAAACTTAATGACTTAGGCCCGTATCGTCAGTCGTCCCTACAATTGTAGGGCGTCTTTATGGATTGGTTAAGCGTAAGAGTAGCAAATACTAGACTTCACTGATCAGTCCGCTGTAATTTTGTAACTGAAGCCTTTGGTGCAAAAAGGTGTTCAGTCAGATATTAGTTTGGAGATAATTGGGCTCAAAGTTTAAATCCTGACATTTTTTATTAAATAGTGTTAGAAAAGTATCAGAAATTTTAAAAAGATTGAGGAAAATCAGACATCACCTTATTTGCTTGGTCTGGAAAACGAAAGGAGCAGAAAGGTGTTAATAAAACGATGTTACTTAATAACAAATAATCCACACACTGTAACTAATCGTCTCCTCTTCTTAAATTTTGATAAAAAACTCTAAAATTTGCTGGTATTTAAGGAATTTGTTCCTGAATCTCATCAAACTTTTTGGGCCCAATAGGTCGGCTTATATCGACAATCAATAATAATGGTTTATTTCCTACTCTTCTCTATCGAGATTTCGCTGTTTTCTTATATCAATAATAGTCCAATTTTCCGTTTCATTAAAAGAGTATCTGTACTTGGTTACACAAAATTCTTCAATCTGGATACACCTTACATCTCATTAGTTGTAGTTTTTTTTTCTATCGACCAGTCCAAGTTTTCTTGGAAGTTCTTTAATATCAACAAACTTGTCAGTCATCCTTGTAACATTAAAAGGTGTTTTTTCCTGGCTTCTGCCATGATTGAGATATTATATTGATTATATAAATTGGTTGGTGCTTTCTGATAGACTTGTCTACAGCTGCAAAACTTCTATCAGCTTCCATGAAGGTATGCCCTACTTCAGGGAGCTAGTGGTCAATTTTGTTGAACACTCCAGAGATTATTAGGTAGTGCCATAAACAGACAATATATTTTTTTTTATTTTAGCCACCTGGCGATTCACTCCAGGCAATCAGATGATCGGAAACCATGTCTTGGTCCTTGATATTTTCCATAATTGAGTTGCCAATCTCTTCAGGACCGCGATTTCCTTGGTCTTCGGTCCAGACGTGGAAAAAAACCTTTACCATTTGGTTGCTGTGTTGATATCAAATGTATTCCTAGATTGTAGGGCCATACTTGTAAATAGAAGGATTTACTTTTAGAAATTTTCGGCAGGGGAAGCGTTTTTTGCAAATCAAATGTGAGGTATCAGATTTTTGTCCGTCAAAAGCTTTTTTTATACTTTGCAACACGTTCCTCATCCGATCCTACATTTTTACATTTTAAACGAAAACTGAATTAACCCTCGAGTTAACACCTCTTTACCTATAATGCAAGAGTTAACACCTTTTAAAGTTTACAGATTGAAATTTTTTGCACCAGACTTCAATTATGTTAATAAATACCTCTACTACTATTATTTTCAGTATCTTATCTTTTTGAGTTTTGACTGACAGTTTGACCTCTAAGTCAGGCAAAACCACTTTTGACTAAGAAAGTCAGTCAAAAGTTTTTGTCCGGTATGAGTTTTGACTGTAACATATATATCATAACAGTAGTTGATTTAAAAGTAATTACTGGTAAATTTGCGAGTACCAATTTCTCTTTCCACGTTCGCGAAGCACACGAACACTTACCAAATAAAATCTCTACAGTGGGAACAAAATGTCGGTTGTCTAAGAAATGTCGCCATGAATTTGTGCCCGTTAACTTGGTGCACTCTACGTCGCATAGCACCGCGGCGCCTGTTGAACCCTTGCTGGCGCTCTTTGAACTCTCGAGGGCGCGCGCCATATTCTGAAAAACAAAAACAAAGCAATGTTAATACAAGGTCTGTCGCAAAGTAAGCAGGACCAAGAAAAAATGAACAAACAGTTTTTGTTTAAGAAAATAGAATTTATTTTATTCAAAATAGTCTCCTTCACAACAGCAAATAGGTAAACGTTGTTATATCAGGTGAATATGGGTAGTAATTGATGGTTAAATTGCTATTTTTTGTCAATAAAATCGGACACAAGCGTCGGTCGCGATATTCTATCCAAACACGTCGAATACGCGACAACAAACGCATCATAACACCAATATAAAACACATCATTACCCGTTGGAACAAACTGTTTGTATATAATTCCCTTCGAATAAATATAAATTCACGCACTTTTCGACGTTTTCTGGCGTAATCACAAATTTTGGCTGGCCAACATGTTCGCATTCTTCCAGCGACTCACGACACTCTTTGAACCATGTAAAGCACTCGTGGACTTTGCTACGAGATAAACAATCATCACCATACACTTCGGTAAATGTTTCATCAAGTTTAATACAAACTTAATATTGGCTCTTCGTTCGAAGCTCATTTTTCGCCCAATGATAAATAGGTACTGCCATTTTGAGCGCGATAACACCACGTGAAGTGGTTCGATTGTCATGGCCGATAATAGATGGCGCTACTTGTATCGGATATCATTCAAAAGTCCTGTTTACTTTGCGACAAAACTTGTATGACTGGGTTGTTTGCACATTGATCAACTTCAGGTTCTATACTACAACTATTTAAAACTGTAATGACTCATACGCGTGATCAACACGTGATCAGAGCTCGATCCCGGCTTCCTTCCAGTACAGCCGTATAGCGTACGACATATGTCGTTTCTGTGGCTCTGCGGTGGTCAACAGCACAGACAGAGATGGAAATAAAGGCTGATTGTTCTCCGCCGGTAGAACCAATGAAATCAAAGACGCGCCTCGACCGGCAGACTCATAGGCGTCGGCAACGCATTGGAACGTGTTTCGTTGAGCGATCGCATATTGTGTGTTTTTATAAGAATTGTTGTGTGATTGTTATTGTTGTGGTTTCTGTGGTTACAGTTTTGGTTATACTTAACCATGGAGAGTACCAATGGCACGAGTGGAAGTACTGAAAGCCAGGGAACAAGTAGACGGCTTCGTAAAGCACTGAAGAGGGACGCGAAAGAAATCGTGCTCAACGTGTTCAATTATCTGAACAGAAATATGTCACAAGGAGATGCACTCGCGCGTTGTGAAAGTATTACAGGCGTTCCAGAGTGGACCATTCGCAGGGTGGTGCATGAAAAGAAGAAAACTGGAGCTACTACTGATCCAAAGTTTAATTTGAAGGGACGAAAGGCCGTTAAATTGGATGACGATAGCAAAATGGCGTTAAGGCGAACCGTACATTCATTCTTCTTTAGGAATGAGATAACCTGCGAACATTAGTTACGTGACTGATGAGATGGCCCGTCAATGTGGTGTCACTGTGCTGCGGTTACCGCCCTACCACTCTGAACAGAACCCAATAGAGCTCATCTGGGCTCAAGTGAAGGGTTATATTGCGCGCCATAACACAACCTTCAAATTACCAGACGTTAAGGTTTTACTTGAGACTTCCATACAGCTAGTAACGCCCGAAGCTTGGCAGAATGCTATCCGTCATGTTGTGAAGGAAGAAACAAAAATGTGGCAGCTTGACCACCACATCGACACCATCATAGAGCCAGTTATATTCAATTTCAACGAGGAAAGCGATAGCGACAGTTTATTACTGTCAGATGTAAGTGGAAGCGACGATGAATAAAGGTAATTCCCAAATTTTTGACTTACAATATGTTTCAAACCCCTCTTTATTAAGCATGTGACAAATCTAGTTCACCCATGTTAAACATTCATACCCCGCCTATGAACAGCCGACTACTGGTAGTTAAGTGATGTTCATGTGAACATCGATGAGTCATTACAGTTTTAGATAGTTATAGTATAGTTATTGATAGATTCAAAATTAAATGGGTTTCGATAGGGGGTATAGCGAGATTTGATAACGGAAATTTTCAATTTATAAATTAGTTACATTTTTCCGATAAATATTTAACTTAGCAAGCTAGCATTTTAGCATCAACATACACTGTTTATATCATATCATCTCAATACGCGATGAAACCAACATTTGTGGTCACCTCATAGGCTATTAGGAAATAACGTTTAATTATTGGTTTTAAAATTTGTTAGATTGTGATTATATGTGGTTTTAGTAACATTGATGCACATTATATACACTACCATTCAAAAGTATTTTAACACATGCATATTACCATTTAAAATAATAACAAACAAAAAAAAACTTTTCACTACATAATTTTTCTTTATTTATTGAAAACCATCATTAGCCATAGTAGGAATTTCTTTGCCTTTAGAATATTGTTATCTTTTTGTATAGTAATTCTTTCTCAGGATTTGTGTTGTACGTAAGCCCATAACATAGCTTCAATACCTTATAGTTCAAGATTGTTCAACAAGTGCGTTTTCGTTTATTTTTTTCTGGACAAAACGGGCAAAACTGAAGGATATTCCGATGAAAGAAAAGGAGTTATTATTGGTTTCGATAAATCCGGCAAAAGTATTCGAGAACTTTCTAAGCCTCAGAAGGTACCACTGTCATGTGTACACTACATTATTAAGAAATTTAGGGCTCAAGGCACAACAACCAATAGCCGTCGTTCAGGGAGACCCATAGTTAGAACTTCCACCGAAAACTTATTCATAAAAACTTGTAAGTACAGTTAAGAGAACGTTATTCGAAGCTGGACTTAAGGGATGCCTAGCAGTATCGAAACCACTCCTCAGGGCTACTAACAAAAAAAAAAAATCAGATACTGAATTGGGCGAAGCAACATCAAAATTCGACAGTTGCTGACTGTAAGAAGGTCCTCTGGAGCGATTAATCGAAATTTGAAGGTTTTGGTTCCAATAGAAGAGTATTTGTCCGCCGTCGGCATAACGAGACGGCATTAGAATCATGCACCGTCGCTTATGTCAAGCAGTTTAATGATTTAGGGCTGTTTTGGTGGTTCCGCTCTGGGGGATATTGTGAGACTGTACAGGGAATACCGAATAAAGAAGGTTACAAAGGGGGACTCGTCTTATTGGTCCGGAGTTTGTCTTTTAGCATGATAATGACCCCAAGCACACATCCAAGCTCTGTAAACAATTTTTGGAAGCAAAAGAAGAACAAAATATGTTGAACGTTATGCCATGGCCTCCCCAATCCCCGTAGTTGAGTCCGATAGCTTCTGTGGGATGAACTGGACAGTCCTACATCTCAAGAACACTTATGGAGAATATTACAAGATAAACAACTCCATCCACTTTGGAAAAATTAGTTGCTCGTTTACCCATCATTTGCCAGGCTGTAATTAAAAGTAACGGATGAGTCAAAAATATCATTATTTTTATTATAAATATTTGTATGTTGTTAAGAAGATCGTTCAGTTTTGCTATTTTTTGAGTCATATCTATCCAATAAAAGAAAAACACGAACTCTTATGAATATGTTTGCACATTGGTGGTGACGCACGGATCAAATCTTGGCCCACTGCTTTTCACATTATTTATAAATGTATGTTACTCTCAATTGTAACAAACTTCTTTATGCTGACGATTTGATATATATTACAAGTACGGAGAACTGTCATACCTTACAGATGGAGTTGGATAATATTCAGTCTCGTTGTCAAGTAAGCAAACTTTGAATGTAAAAGGTTGTAATGTATAAGATTTACTAGAAGGAAAAGTCCGTTTGTCTTCGACTACGATGAGGTACTTTCTCGTTTTCAAAAGAATAAATATCTGGGAGATGTTTTTGACTCACTCTTGTCATTTGTTGAGCATATCTCAATAACGGTTAATGCCGCATCGAAGGTGTACGGATTCATAGTGAGAAACTGCCGGTCTTTCACTAATGCACAATGTAATTGACTTTACTTCAAACATACAATGGCAATTGAGAAAGTGCAGCGACGCTTTTTAAAACTGCTAGCTTGCAAAACTGGCGGTACTTATATCCTCCTAGGAATATACTTTATCAGCATCTTACTTTTAGATTTGAATTAGAAGTCTGAATTTAATACTTTAATTTTTTTTAACCATATTGTATAAACTTTTACATAATAACTTATATGTCAGAGTGATTTTCTCTAAGATTAATTTCATTGAGCCTTGTATGACAACTAGAAATACCAAAACCTTCCGTTGTGAGACGGCTAGAACAAATTTGCTTCAAAAGTCGCCAGTATTAACTATGTGTGCAAATTTTAATTCAATTTCCGCTCTTTGTGATATAAATTTTGACAGTATCTCAAAAATACAGGATTGTGGTGGTTTGTACTCGCACAGAGAAATCACATAAATGGGCTATCCTTTTCATAATATGTCTGGCATTTAACTTTCATTATATGTTTATTGTAAAGGTCTGCTTTATATTTTTTCTAAACGTAATGATGCAAAAATCGTATATTATTTTTTCTGTAATCTTTTGTACTTTCGTACTTTTCGCTAATTCAAGTTATGTGTTTATTTTACATCCATTAATTGCTTTTTTTTCATTTAATTTCTTGGTAAGCTTATGTATTATTGTCCAGTAATTGGGGACTATTGGGTAATAAAGATTATTATTTGAAGAGAAACTTACCATTCGTTGCTATTAAATCTATCTTAACATGTAATCTGCCTTTTGGTTCCAGATTCACCTGAAAATTAAAATAAGTGAATCATAAGTATATCATTAATAATTGACGGAGATCCCAACCAATGTCCGATAAGATCAGATTATAATGCATCATTCAGTGAGTTTAGAACAATAAACATCACAATTGAAATCAAATCCAAATAAGAGTGAGAATTTGTCTAATAGGTTGCTCAATGAATGTTTTGATATTATTGGAGCAAGAATATTAATCCTGATAAACTACTGTCTACAATATGGCGAATTTCCAACAAAACTGAAGTGTTCTACCGTAACACCTGTTTTGACAATTAAAATTTCTGATTTGTACTCCAATTTGCCACCAATAAATTATCTGCCAGATGTTGAAAAAGTATTTAAAGAAATTATTTACTAGCAGATCATCGAATAAAAAAATTCAAGCTGGATTCTGGAAGAAACACTCAACTGAAAAGGCAATACAAGTGGTTTTAGAGGACTGGAGGAGATGTATGGACAATAGGTAACATACAGTGACTGTGTTTTTGGACTTCAGAATGGCGTTTGAAATTATTGACAGGGATAAATTACTTAGAATATTGCATCACTACGGATTTAAAGGATCTGTATTCAAAATTCTACAAATCTACTTAATTGACAGAAGTCAAAAAACAAAATTAGATCTACATTATCAGGCTCAAAAAATAATTATGTTGGTGTACCACAAGGTAGTAAACTAGATCCACTACTATTTATTTTATACATTAATGACATTTGTAATATTTTAGGTTATTGTAAAATTGTATTGAATAAAAATAAGTACACCAAAATAAAATCTATTTTACAAGTATTGCAGTGGTTGAATACAAAAAAATTCATATCATATTTGGTCCTTATTTTTATATTTAAAATCGACTTTTGCCACAACATTTAGAACACTACATAGAATTGAATAGTCATTACCACAATTATTATACAAGAGCAAATATAGATTTCCTTTTACAAAACTATAATAGTAATATAACTAGCAAATCAATACTTTAGAAAGGATAACTTGAATTTAATAAACTAAATAATAATATAAAGTCTACTTGTAATTTCGAGATATTTAAAAGAAAATTAAAGGAATATTTCATGGACAGTGAAAATTCTTAAGAGATCCCAATTTTGTTTTTCTAAATATACAGGGAGTTTCAGTTTATTGTTGCATAACTTTAAGATTCGATAGAACTTTTAAAATTAATGCATAAAGTCTATATAAACATGGGTCAAAAAATGCGTGGCTTCCGAAATACAGGGTGTTTAAATTTACGAAACGCAGCAGAAGCAGCCAGAGAATACGCACGAAGATTTCCAAACAGACGACATCCAACTCGCTCAGTATTGGTAAGTGCATCGCCAAATAATTGAAAATGGTTTTGGAAATCTCCAAAGGGATCAAACATAAATGTTCGTCAGCCCAGATTTACCCGTATGATTCTGCGTGAGTTTGATAGAGATCCGACCACAAGTGTTAGGAGAGTTTCTGGTGCCTTGGGAATTTCAGCAAGCCATGTTCACCATGTTCTTAGAAATGCCCATAGACGTCGTTACCATTTGCAACCTGTACAAGGACTACAGCCAGAGGACGGAGAACGAAGAATCACATTTTGTCAGTGGATTCTTGATAGAACTGATAATAATAGGGAGTTTTTAAGTAACGTTTTATATACCGATGAGTTATGCTTCACTAGACGTAGAGTGGTAAATTTTCATAATCAACATATTTGGTCGCATGAAAATCCGCATGCAGTTCAAGAAAGGAATTTTCAGCATGAATTTAGTGTGAACGTGTGAATTGGTATCTACCGTAATCGACTATTTGCACCCTACCTTTTGGCTGCAAGGTTAAATGCTGCGACCTTCTTGGAATTTTTAAAGGCTGAACATGCAAATATGTGGGATGATGTTATGTTAGATTCAAGAAGATTGGCCTGGTTCCAGCTTGATGGTTGTCCAGCTCATTATTCGAGAATAGTTAGAAACTGGCTGGACGAAAATTATCCAAAAAGATGGATCGGCCGTGGAGGACCAGTCACCTGGCCTCCACGATCCCCTGACCTAAATCCATTAGATTTCTTTGTGTGGGGATTTCTAAAAGAAAAAGTGTACCAGATTCCCGTAACCACAAGAGATATGCTAATAGACAGAATCAGGAATGCATGTGATGAAATAAGGCGTTATTTGAATAATGCTATACCACGTTCGATCATTCGTAGATGTGAATTGTGTATTGAACAATTGGGTTTACATTTCGAGCAACTACTTTAGATTTTGTATGTTTGTCCTAACTATCCAATAGCATTCAATATTCATTTAATTTGTTAAAAATAATATTGGAAAATTAAACAAATTAATATTCTATTTTTTTGTGTTTATTTGGAGTTAGGAATTATTGCTGTGTTTAAAAACACAATCTAAACGATCATCTTAATTACTTGTAATGCCCAAATCGAAAATGTAAAAAAAAAATATTATTTTCCCATAAATAATAAAAAATGCATCGAACCTTAAAAATCGAAATATCTCAAAAACGGCAAACTATAACGAAAACTCACAGGAGAGCTTTTTTATGTTGAAAAGTGCGAAGAATCAGTTTTTTTATTCAAAAAGCAAAAAATTGCACTAAGAAAAATTTTTCGGTCATTTTAATACACTACAGGTACAGTAGAGAGCGCCCTCTAGCGGCTACAGCCCATGGTTCGTTTTGCCGTACCAAAAAACCCTTGTATACCAATTTTCACTGTTATACATCAAATATTGTTTGAAATATTTAAAAAAAACTATTTGAAAAAGTAAATTTAAACACACTGTATTTCGGAAGCCACGCATTTTTCGACCCATGTTTATATAGACTTTATGCATTAATTTTAAAAGTTCTATCGAATCTTAAAGTTATGCAACAATAAACTGAAACACCCTGTATGTGTTATCTAATTGTTGCAGTTTTTTAAAACAATGTAATTGTAGCAATCATGCCAAATAAATCTTTAACAAATAAACCCCAATTTCATATTATCATTGAAATCACACAAAGTCCTTGTTATTTCTCACCCATATATATCAATCACTAATTGATTAGTCAACTCACCCAAAAATCTGATTCATCTTTTTCTCTAGCTAGAAGTTCTTCAAATGGCACACAAACATTTGCTACAAAGACATCCGGTGGGATAGCTGCATCATGGAACACTGTCAGTGTCAAAGTTCTGGCATTTTCAACCTGTAACATAAAGCATGATTGTTGGGTAACTGGCCTTTTTTGAATTTTCAAGAATTCACTACCACATATAAACCCTATTTCACGAGTACCCACTACGTTTTGACGTCTACTGAGGTGAACAGCTGATGGGCAAGTGACATCGTTGTATTAGTTTGTACCCAGGACCGTATTCAGAGCTGTTGTTCTTACATCTAGATACTTTAGTGACTGGGAATTTTTTCAATAAAATAGAAAAATGCTTATAATTATTATAGTACATCGAGGATTTATTAAGTACGAGGTAAGTCAATAAAACAGCCTGGGTTATCCTTTCAACTAGCTGTAATTTTACATTTAAAAACACGAGTTGTCCATGATCTGTGTAACGTAATTCAAATATGGCTATTTCATTGCCAAGTTCTAAAAAGTAGAGATGATTAACAAAGTGGATACTAACTGTTTATCTTATTTTATTCCTACCTAACTTGTAATGTAGTCATAATCATTAGCAGCCATTGTGCTTGTAGCGATTTTTTTTGTTGGATGCGAAGAAACTTTTCTAAATAAAAAGTTGTTAGCAAGTACATAAAAATGAATCCGTAGTGTACAAAAAAAAACAAAATAGGGCTCTGTCTACCTGGAGTTGACGAATCCGTCAGAATTGTGAGTCACTTGCGGATGAGGTGAATTTTGAGAGAAATATTACTAGATAATCAGCTGTTATTCTACCGCAATCGATACTCGTGACTAATACAGTAGGCATCAGATACAAGAATAAACTGTAAGATATAATCATTTCCAAAATAAAAATATACGTTACTGGAAGAGAAACCTGTTAAAAGTGTTTTAAACTTTATGAGAATGATTAGATTACATTAGAAATTAGAAATTCTTTATTAACGCATATAGCTTTTAAATATAAATAACAATACAAAAAAATATAAAATCATTAATGGTGCATGATCACAAGAGGGCGGTCTACAATCTTAAACACTACTAGATACAACAAGACCAATTATTACTGTACTACATTTCTCACTTTATTCGCAAAAATCCTAAAACTATCATTGAAAAAGTCAATTTTATTGCACTTCTGCACTACACTATTTGCTCTCATACACATTCGAGTTATAGGAGAATTCATACCATAATTTGTCCTATGATATGGAATATGAAATAATGACTTCCTTGACGGTATATGAAAACCAACCAGAGCAAGGAGATCAGGTGCATTAATTTGATTGTTAATGATCTTAAGAAGTGTGTAAATATCAAACATATCTCTTCTGTTTACAAGTGGCGTTAAGTTCAGTAGAGACATTAGGTCCTGACAATTAATGTCATCAAAAGGAATGCCAAGCTTTAGACCTATTATCTTAAGAAATTTTATTTGGATTCTTTCAATACTATCTCTGTGCACAGCATAATAAGGATGCCAAACAGAGCTGGCATATTCAAATAATGATCTTACTAAAGCACAGTAGACATCTCTCACAATAAAAACATTATTGACGTCCCTAAGACTCCTAAAAACAAATCCCAAAAGACGCATAGCTCTTGATGTTATTTTGTCAATGTGAGACACAAATGTAAACTCACAATCAAGCCACACACCCAAATCCCTTACTAGGTTTGTTCTCTGTAAAATTGCATTGTTTAGTGAGTACTCAAAAGCTATTGGATTTTTAATGTTACAGAAGGTTATAACTTTACACTTATCAGTATTTAGCATTAAGTTATTTACATTGCACCAATGAGAAAACCTATTTAAATCTTCCTGCAAAGCGAGGCAATCACTCGTATTTCTAATAATCTTAAAATTTTTTAAATCGTCCGCAAAGCCAAGAAAAAGACAATTAACAAAAATATCCTTAATATCATTCACAGAAATATTGAATAGACGCGTAGACAAATGACCTCCCTGGGCAACACCCGATGTAATACTAATTTCTGAGGATATACGGTTTTTGATCTTAACCACTTGGTATCTATCTGTTGCATTACTCTCAAGCCATTTAAGTAGAGTGCCATGTATGCCAATTGACCTCAGCTTGCTTACCAAGATACCATGATCAACTCTGTCGAACGCCTTTGAGAAATCAGTGTATACAGCATCCACTTGATATTTATTCTCAAAGGCATTCAACAGAAGGTGCTCATAGGTTAGGAGATTTGAGACAGTTGATTTTCCCTTAATAAAGCCATGCTGCTCATTAATTATAATATTCCTGACACATGGAGATATTTTGTCATAAATTATGGACTCAAAAACCTTAGCAATAACTGATATCTTAGAAATAGCTCTATAATTTTTTATATTTGACTTATCCCCTTTCTTAAAAACCGGTGTTACATATGACATCTTCCAGACAGTGGGGAAAATACCCGTGACAAGTGACAAGTTAAAAATTTTACATAAAACATCAGATAAAACACATTTACAATTTTGTAATAAAATTGCCGGAATTCCATCAGGACCAACTCCTAAGTTAATACTCAAGGACTCAATTTTATTAAAAACTTCTATAGAAGATACACTTAAACTACTTAAATTAGTACATTTGTCAGACTTGCAATTTTGATTAATACAGGAGCCCTGCTTTTCTGAATATACAGAAGAGAAATGCTGTTTAAACGTCTCTGTGATTATTTGTGATATAGTTTTCTTCTGTTTATTGTATATGATACTTTCAATCATTCTACCGGGAAGTGAAAACGAGGCTCTTTTTTAGAACCAATCATATCAATTTTCAAGCTGGTATTTTTGAGAATATCTCGATAGGCATATTTCAGAGCTACATCGTCAATAAGCCTCTGTACGTCCTTTTCTGATTTTGCGCAACATGTACCTGCAACTTGTTAAGGTTCCTACGTTTTCACTACACAAAGTGTGGTGCGAAAAATGATCCAGCACATTTACTTTGATATCTAGCTATCACTTGGCGCATTTGCAAAATGTTACAAACTGTTTTAATCCAAACAAATTTATGGCATAATAGACGGCTTTTAGAAGCCCTGCATGTTACAGGATACAGTGCGTTCACTGATTAGCATCCTATAGACCACCGACAGTCCTAATTCCAAAGAAGTCTTTGAAGGATCAACACACTATTCCGATACGTGTGTATGACGTCACAAAAGGTATTTTGTGATCGGTTCATGGAAACGTTGACTATGGGTGCGAGACTGCAAGCATGTTGTAAAAAATTCATTTCGACATCGATGTCGCATGCGACGAGCTATTTGAATGTCTACTTTCGTACTAGTTGTCGAAGACATATTTTCATAATTTTGACGAACAAATATTACTGAAACCCGAAACAATTCGTGTAGTGACTTTCCTGACACGGCTTTTTCATCTACGACTGTTGACTCGTGTCTATCGGACCACAAAGATCTGACGTCTTTATGTTAATACGGTACTCTGGATTACCGCAATCTTAGGGTCATCTATCGCCCAATAACTGGTTGAGGTTTAATAAATAATAAAATCCCATAAAAGCAAATGCCTGTGAATGGGTTACTACAATTATTTTATGAATACCTGAGAAATATTTGAAGTAATACAGTGTGTAGTCAAAAATAATGTAGGGATATACAGTAATGGACAAAAGTATATAGACAAATTAATATTGTGCTGTATTTCTTTTTTAACTTGTTTTATTAATACACCAACCTGTATACATACTTCGTTATAGCATAATACTTACTAAGTGACATATAAATCCGAACACCCAGTTTAAATGGTTTTATTTTAATAATATTTTGTATAAGTACTTAATGAAGCATAATAAGTACATGATAAAAATTTCAAAATGATTGCACTGCTTTAAAGCCCTTTGACCTTTAATAATGTGTGGATGCACCCTGATGTGCTACGCATTCTCCAACGCGCCTAGGCATGCTTCTGATCAGGTGGTCAATGTCCTCCTGAGGTATCTCATTCCAGGCAACCACCAACTCCTCTCGAAGTGCTTCTAGAGTCTGAGGAGGACGTTGCAAATTGAGCAATCTCCTACCCATCATATCCCACACGTGCTCAATTGGGGATAAGTCGGGAGATCTTGGTGGCCATGGTAACAATGTGACATCATTATGTTGAAAGAAGTCTATTGTGACTCTTGCAACATGTGGTCGGGCATTATCTTGTTGGAAAGTTGGATCTGCCAGGGTGTCAAGATAGGGTAAAAGATGGGGCTCTAGAACTTCGTGGATATAACGCTGCGCGTTCATGTTACCTCTGATGAAGATTAAAGGTGACTTGGAACCATAAGCTATAGCACCCCAAATCATAACTATAACAGTGTGATGAACATGTCTTTCAACAAAAAACTGTGAATTCCTCCTTTCACCACGTCGCCTTCTAACCCTGGCACGACCATCGTGCATGCCTAAACAAAATCGAGACTCGTCACTAAAGACAATGCTGTTCCATTCCTGATCCCAGAGTGACCGTTGTCTGCACCACTCAAGGCGATTACGTCGGTGTTCTCGAGTTAAAGGGAGGACCCAGTGTGGCCGGTATGAAAACAAGCCAAAACTTCTCATTCGTCGGTAAACACTTCGCATGCCAATAGGTCTTCCGTGTTCTGCAAACCATTCATTTTAGGCCAATAATCTTAGGCGGCGATCTTCACGGTCTGTTCTACGGTGGCGTCCAGTGCCCCTTGCTCTTTGCGTACGGCCTTCTCGAAGCCATGCCTGACAACACCTAACCACAGTGTCTACACTTCTTTGCACTCTAGCTGCAATTGCCCGAAAAGAAAGTCCAGCTTCCCGAAGTCCCACTATACGGCCCCTATCAAACTCACTAAGTTGACAAATAAATAATCTGTATGATGGATTGGTACCACTGATTGATAATTAACATACATAATCCTAAGGTAGTAGAGTTGTGCATGTTATGAGTGGGTTGAATATGGAAGGTATTCAAATAATTTTTCTAAAGATAGGTGTTGGCCCCAGACAATCCGGTTATATTGTCCTTATCGCTTGCCAAAGGAGGATAACTCCTTAACATT